TCCTGATTGTGGAGAAGACTCGGAAGAGAGTCGGCAACTCGACGACTCGAACGTGGATCCGAGCAAAGAGCAAATCAGTTCCTGCTGAAACGCTCGTCACGATTTCCCATTGGAGGAAGCCATGGTTTTGCAGACATCAATATTGCATGTCCCTCCTACGAATAGCAAGTTTTATGCTGTGCCGCCTGCATTTGTTGAGTGCATCCGAGCATTTCGAGGCCTGTACTTTGTATTTTGATGCGCGAGACTCTAATTAATGCGAGCAAATTTTCCGGCCCTCCATTGCTCACGAGACAGTAGACGAGGCGAATTGAGACAGAGTCACTGGCACGGCCAGAAATGCTGGCGGAAGAGGGGAGCAACCCTCCGTTGCCCTGGCAGCCGGCCACCCACAGATCTGGCCACTAGCCAGACTCAACGTCTCCGGGGTTGCCTGGCACGGCATATATGCACATACCAGTTGGTCAGCGTTTCATGGAGTAGCGTGCCAGCGAGTCGAGACAAAATACAGGTTGATTCCAATTCTCGGCCTTGAAAAAGGATCACTTGTCTTTTGCTTCCGGCTCGGCCATTCTGAGCTAGAAATAAAACTTTCCCAAGCTGAAACAGAGACAGGAAGGCAAAGAGCTATTCTCCCCACCAGTTAGAGGTATTTGATCAGATTTTAGTATTGTAAATAGACGGCGAAATGCATTGATGGGCCACTGGTTGGCAATGTGGTTGGTGACCTGTATGCCCTAACGAATCGATGCTTGGCAGGTAACGATGAAGCGAGGGACGCACGAAGAGATGGATGGTTGGCCGTATCGATGGGGGAATGAAGAAACACGCATAAATGGAGGGGGAAAGAGCGAGATTGAGGAATGAATAGTCGAGTGTTTGGGCATATCGACGGTTGGTCGTATCGTTCGCCTGACACACTCTTCACTCTAACTCGCCTGTTATGGCCAGATGAGTGGAGGAATGAGGGAGTGTAAATATGCGGATGTTTGGATGGTTGGGCCATTGGATCCAGACAAACAATGTATGAATGGAAGGAGTATTCGCTCAGCGAATGGTCGAGTGGGTGTCAAGGTAAGCATACAGTCAAACTGTCAGTCTCAGCCAAAAGCCTGTTTAAGAATGCTGGCCAGTTAAGTGAGGAAGGCTACGATTGACAAAACCGGCAAAGAAGGTCTCTAAATTTGGGGATGCTCACCTGGATTTAGTTATTTTATTTTCCAAACGATCAGGCATAATTGAATAAGAACATGAAAATGAAATGACCATAAAAATTAGCAAAAAGGCGTTGTGTTCGATGGGTAAAAGAGGAATATGGAAGTTTTGTAGGCAATTATATGAGTACGCCTTACGACATAAAAGTGGGTTGATCTCGTTGTCACAACTTTGTCTTGTTGTCAGGGCGACTTAGTAGAACTCACCTATTCCAAAGTCGTCTGCCGTAGTAGTTGTTATGATTCCCAGCATCATCAGCGAGTGCTGCCATTCTCCGCACCAAGCTATGAACTCGTCTACGAATATGCCGGCGAAAAATTTTGAGAATATACCAAATCCACTGTCTGATGCTGGAAATTATGACAACTACTATGGCAGACGACTTCGGAATAGGTGAGTTCTACTAAGTCGCCCTGACAACAAGACCAAGTTGCGACAAC